CTGTTTTAATTGAAGAAAATTGGAGCGGAAGTTTTGAAACACCGCAAACCCATACGCGTTTTTGTAGTTTGATTATCAGTATGCTCGCACAATTCGCCACCTCCTTTTCCAGACATTTGGAAAGTGTAGTTTTGCAGTAATTGTATTCGTCTTCATGCACTAAGTAAAATCAGAAATTCCGCGCTCTGTGCATTTGGCAACGCCCCTGTGATTCAGCATAATTGAACTTGGCAAAAAAACCGAAGAACGAAATTTTCATGGGAAATTCAAGAGTTCAAGGGCAAGTGTCATCAAAGCGATAAGATGCATCAGACATTTTAAAGTCCGTACGTTCGAAGTACAGAATACCCGGAGCGTATATACTCTGTCGAAGAAATAATGAGTAACTTAAATGGAAACCGTGTGTACATACGCGATTTTTAACATTGCTCTATCATTGTTAGCTGTCTTGGCTCCGGCCTGGCAGTTCGTCTTTAACAATGGAACCGCGCTTAACAGGAAGGAAGCAAGCCACATCAGATATTGCCACACTTGAAAAAAAAGACACATTGGATCTAGAGTCCAGGCTCTTAAGAACATCGACAAGAAAAAATACTCTTGATTCAATCAGATTTAAGCTTAAATCAAGAACCAAGCCTCTTAATTTGAGCGGATTTCCTTTTGATTTAACCTTTAATCTGATTGAATCAAGAGTCCTTTTTCTTGTCGATGTTTTCATAAGTCTGGACTCTGGATCTAATGTGTTTTTTTTCCTAGTGCAAAAACTGTGCAATTTGATTTTTTGCAAAAGAATGTTTCTGCGGATTCATTTGAAAATGTAATGGAATTCGCCTCGCACTATGCAAAAAATTCACTGGCACTTACTCAAAATCCGCACAACTGTTTTCATGTAAAAATTTTAATTGCTCAGTTAAGTTTGGCAATACATAATGGGGCTTGGTTCCTTTCTGCATAATGCGGTCCAACTGAGCTTAGAGGCAGAGAAAATCAATTGATAAGGCTAGCAGAGCCCTTACGCTTGATTTAATGCTCACGTTTGATGGGAAATCTGTTGAAGTAATTGGAGCGCTGGGTCAATTCCTTGCTTTCGGTGTCTCAAAATCTTTGCTAACGTTCTTTCCTTGTATAATAAAAGCAAACGCGTGAAATTCGTTGACTTTATTACTGGATTTTTCTTTATGATTTTACAATGCTGAAAACGGAACATTTCAGAAAATCCACCACACATTTTCCGCTCTAAAATATAAATTAGCTGTGAAGATTCTGAAACGCTGCTACCGAAAAATGCGTTTTCTGCATCCAACTCCTCAATTCCGGTGATTAAGGAAGAACGCCTTAAGAGTACCTGAATTTTGCAAAACTTTTCCCTGAAGAAACTTTTTATTTTTGAGTTTATTATGAATAATCCTACTTTAAAATTTCAGATTTAGTATACTGAACTGCAATTGAATTATTACATAAAAATTCACAGGAAGACATCTAAAGTTTTCAGGAAATTTCTTATTTTATCAGAAGAAACTAGGCAATATCTCAATGTACCTAAGGTGTTTCTACGTAGGACCATAGAGTGCGGCTCTAAAACACAAAGGGGTACTATTAATGCGTAGCAAATAAAGTATCATGAATATTTCAGTTTAATTGCTTACTAGACATCCGTTGATTTGAAAACTTGTTTGCGCACGCTGAGCTGTGAAATTCCCAGATTTTTTGTTTGGTCTACATCGGAGCCGTTTATTTTGCTGGCCAATGAATCACCATCGATCGATTCGGTGAAAATGACGTAATCATATATGCGTTGAATCTTAAAATCTTTCAACAAACTACACGAGGTAGTTGCGCTGTTGCACGTTGTTCATACAATGATCATCGCTGGGTGCGGAGGGAACACTGCACGTTGAACAACGCTCCATACTGCCCTGCTAAGGAAAAACGCCGTATGAACATCGAGAGTTGCTAAATTTCCTTCGATAAAATGTTTATTTTGAGGAAAGTTTTGAATATTTTTCCGATAGATTTTCAAGAACTTTAGTTATAATCGGGAACAAAATAACCTGAAAAATTGGCAGAAAAATGTTCTCAAATTTTCTCTAAAATTCTTGATTTCCCGACGGAAATTTAGCGACGGTTGAGTGCTCGTATGGCGTTATTCCTTAGCGCAGCAGCATTGGAGTGCACAATTTGAATCACTTAAACTTTGGTCCTTCATTTGAGCGGGAAATTCATATTTTCGACCGCGTTAAATAGGAATGAACCAAGCGACATCAGCTATTGCCAACAACTGGATAATGTAATTTTTTACACGAAAACGGTTATGCAGATATTTGTGCAAATTTCTTTGAATTTTCTCCATAGTACTAAGTGAATCCCCGAAAATTTTCAAAGGAATCCGCACAAATGGTCTCTTGTAAAAAATTAAATTGCCCTGTTAAATTTTGCGATAGCGGATGTGGCGTGGTTCCTTTCACAGTCCATTTTTTGTATACCCAACCCAAAATGAAAACGGTCATATCCCGGTAAGGGGGGTAACATTGGTCATTTCCATTGCGAAAATGGTGATGTATAAGTGAAATTTGAAAGCAAGAACATTTATCAGCTCCTTTGAATTCGTACTTCGTCTAGTCGCCATTTGTTTGGGGCATTTTTTTGTGTTCTTGCGTTACTTTTTGGTTAAAATAGAAAGTGAAATACAGACCAGCCCAAATGTGTTGCTTTATGGTGCAGTTTGCGGTGAATTGAGCGCCGGAAACAACGGATAGGCTAAGAAACTCTAAAGTAAACCGAAGTATTGGATGATTTTGTGCCTTGCTTTGCTTCCTGTATTAACATAAAATGTCGGTTACTTTTTCTTACCGTGTACTTGTAGGGTCTCTTGTCGGTTGCACTTAGTCGGTCCCTTACTTATACTTCATGTGTCCATTGCAGTCAACCGCTTCCACCAATAAGATCGCACCATTTCCCTTCTCTCTTTTACGTCTATCGCTTTGTCTATAGATTTCAACGTTCAGCTCTCTGCATTTTAGTAAAATATCTGTCCTGCGCGCCGATTTTTGAAATTGATGGACAAAGCTATACACAAAGACATGGCCGGATTAAGGGGGTGGCCCCATGGGCCGCGGCCCATGGCGGCAAATCTACATGAGGCGGCAAATTTTGCAATTTTTTAAATGTAGGCATAAAAAAAAAAAAAAATTGGATTTAGAAAAGAAAAATTACAAACGAGAAAAGGCGACCAAATCTCTTATTTCCTGAGAGTGTAGTAATTTCTAATTTTGTCGTTTTTCAGTGATACAAGAGACAACACCTTTAATTAATCGAGTTAAAAGAGAAACCAAACACACAATTTAGCCTGGAACAGCGCGACTTAGAGAGAAATGATGACGAGGACTTAGGATGAAAAGGAGAAGCCCTCGGTGCGGCGATCGGCATGTAACAAATATTAGCGCCTACACGACTGCACGAATACTTCACGCATTGCATTAATCACAGTGCGGTCATTGCGGAGGCGGACAGCGTGAAACAGATAGCGCCTACAAGAATGCATGAATACTTCACGCATTGCGGCAAACACAGTGCAATAAGCGCGAAACGCATAGCGCCTACAAGACTGCGTGAATACTTCACGCATTACGCCAAATACGGTGCTGTCTGCGCGGCGCGGCGCCGGAAGTTAAAATCATTAATTTACATTTATGTTTGTTCTTTCATAATTTGTTCGTTCATTTCTTATGAATGGAAGGCCTTGTCTACGCAGAGATAGATTTACGAAACTTAACTTTCGCGCAAAGTTCCGTGAGCTTTTGTTAGTAGTGTTAACAGGGCTTTCCCAAAAAATGTGTTCAACAGGAGTAAACGCGGCTTATGCACCCCTCCCCAGCTGGCTTGTTCATTTGATAGTTTTTTATTGATGTTTCAAAGCGAATGAGAAGGGGGTGGCAAAATACAGGCGGCCCTTGGGCGGCAAGTAGGTAAATCCGGCCCTGTACAAAGAAGACAAAAGTTATATGGAGGGATCCTATTGGTGGAAGCGGGTGGTTGCAATAGACAAAGAACGTAATGTCGGTTTCTTTTTCTAACCGTGTACTTGTAGAGCCTCTTGTCGGTTGCCCTTAGTCGTCGGTCCCTTACTTACTTCCTGTGTCCATTGCGGCCAACCGCTTCCATCGATTAGGGTCGCACCATTTTCCCTATCTCTTTTGTCTCCTGCTTTGTCCATAGATGGCAACGATCCTAGGATCTAGGTCTTTTGATCCTAGTTAAACCTGCCCTGTAGCACTTCGAAATGACTTACCTGCTCAAACAGGATCACCCGTTCCAAGCATTAGGATAGCACTATTTTCCCTCTCTCTTTTATGTCTATCCCGCTCTGTCTATCTATTTCAACGATCAGCGCTTTGGACCCCAGTAAACCTGCCCTTATAACATTTGGAAATGACTCACCTGCTCAAGCAGAACCACCCTTCTTCAAGCATTAGGATCTCACCTTTCCTCTCTCTTTTATGTCTACCGCTCTGTCTATCGATTTCAACCATCAGCCCTCTGGATCCCTGTTAAACCTGCCATGCGGGCCGATTATTGAAATTGATAGACTAAGCTATAGACATAGGAGACAAAAAGATATGGAGAGATCCTATTGGTGGAAGCGGGTGGTTGCAATGGAAAAAGGAGGTAGGTAATAGACTAACTAACGGCAACCCACGAGAGACCCGACAGTTAGTCTATCATTTTCTCCCTTTGTCTATAGGAACCACTCATTTCAACCAATACGATCGCTTCATACTTCCTATGTCTTCTTTATCTATAGCTTTGTCCATCAATTTCAATAATCAGTCCGCTGTAGCACTTGGAAATGACTTACCTGCTCAAGTAGAACCACCCGTTTCAACCATTAGGATTTCACAAATTTCCCTCTCTTTTATGTCTACCGCTCTGTCTATCGATTTCAACGACCAGCCCTCTGGATCCTTGTTAAACCTGTCCTGTAGCACTTGGAAATGACTTACCTGCTCAAGGAGACCCGCGGACTATTCCTTGGAGCTGGACCATGGCAAAGAGGCAGGAACGCGTTTCCAGCAACGGGCCGAACACTATGAGCGTAAACCCGGAGGAACACTGGCGAAGGACTGCCTCGCCCTCCGCGGTCTGTCACGGGAGAAAGATCACCGGATCACTTTCACTCCCCGGTTTAGCTCCCGTAACGCCAGGCCCCGCCGCCGCCTGGAAATCCAATAATTCAGCCACCAGCGCGCGGTGCTTTCGCGGCCAATCTCCCGGAAAAATCCGGAAAATCGCCCGCAGCCCGCCGCCGAAATACCGCAGCCCTTGCCTTCCTGCTCCGATTATCCGGAGAGGGGTTTCCGGAATTTACGTAACCTAATTTGGACGCCTCTGAACGAGAGAAGAATCTGCAGGCTGATTCTCGAAATTGGATTGCATTTTGCCAAAAGGAACCACTAGCATTGCAATGATGCTAAGATTGTGCAACTTCATCCTTCGCAATAAAATTGCGGAAATCGTGAAAAACTATGAAATTTAGATGGTAATTTTTGTCTTAAATTTTCAGTTTTTAGCGAGTAAAATAGAAATTATTAATGGATAATCGGGGTTTTCCTCCAAGACAAAGAAGTCGCACAATCTTAGAAACATTGCAATGCTAGTGGTTCCTTTTTGCAAAATGCAATCCAATTGATAGACGTAGAAGACTTAAGGAGACTGGAGCGATCCTATCGGTTGAAATGGGTGGTGATTATAGATGCATTATTGATAGCGATGGATGGAGCTATAGATAAAGGAGAAATGGAACGATCCCATTAGTTGAAACGGGCGAGTGTTACAGACCAAGGAGCTAATTTTCGCAGCCCTTGCCTTCCTGCTCCGATTATCCGTAGAGGGAGTTTCCGGAATTTACGTAATCAAATTTGGACGCCTCTAAACGAAAGAAGTCTATCTGCAGGTTGATTCTTGAAATTGGACTACATTTTGCAATTTGGACCTATATATTCTAGCCCGGTTTAAAAACAACGCATAAGCCATCAGTTTCCCTATGCACATCAGTGTTTTTCCAGAAGAGCCAGAATTTATAGTTCCAAATTGCATAATGCAGTCCAATTGGTGGACCAGGAAGACTTAAGGAGTCTAAAGCGATCCCATTGGTTTAAATGGTTGGTTCCTTTTGACTAAGGGAGAAAATGATGGACCATCTATCGGGTCTCTCGTGGGTTGCCGTTAATTAGTCTATTATCTACCTTTTTGGTCCATTGCAACCACCCGCTTCCACCAATAAGATCCCTCCATATTGACTGTAGAAGTGCCAGACCACGTATCTCGGTTCGCCACGTTGTAGATTTCCTGTCATACTTAATATTTTAAATGGAAAACCACTCAACGTCAATTCCTGAAAACTTCCGTGTTTTTTCTTTTCTGTGCGAAAGATCTCTTTGAAAATGTCAAGAAATTGTATCAATTTGTTCTCCTTCAAAAAAAAAGTAATGGGAGCGGAGATTTTTGAACGCCGCAAACGAGATAGTGGTGTGATAGTTTCACCGTCGATATCCCTTATGTCTTCTTTGTCTATAGCTTTGTCTATTAGCGTCAACAATCAGCCCGCTGGTACTGCTCGTTAATCATTGAAATCGGAAGAAGAAGCGATCGACGAAGTGAAAAGGAGACGATCCCATCGGTCAAAACGGACGAGTATTACAGAGATGGGAGACAATTTTGAACTAAGTTTAGGGTCTTTCTTGGGTTGTCGTTAGTCGATGGCGATTAAGCAACTCTCAGCCAGGCGATTAAGTGTATGCTAAACGTCACTAATTACGGATGCTAGGATTTTGTGAGTTTTTGGACCACTGCTCTCTTTTTGGGCCGTAGTATCTTGATTTATTTTGCGAGGAAAGCTCCGTACTTTTGACGGATGCCTGCCATTCCTAATATATTAGAGCGCCTTTAGTTTCGTATGATACTGTGCAATACCTCTGGTGTGAAATAGTTGCTTCAAGCGCTGTGGCACGCTGCGTTGCGGCAGGCGGGCAGCCAGCGCAAAACGCGCATTGGCGCCTACAAACCTAACAGGGATACTTCACGCGTTGCGCAATGCGTGAAGTATCCCTGTTAGGTTTGTAGGCGCCAGTGCGTCGCCGTTCCGCTTTGTGTTAGGCTCTAACATTTACTCTGGAGGAGTCAGCGTTATTCAACTCATGATTTTGAAATGTTTGCACATCCTGTATGGATATTGATGAAAAAAAAATATGTATTAAAGGATAATATAACGTGTGTTTTGTAAATATTAAGGTGGTTCCGTATCAAACTTATAGATTTCCAAAGCACACGAATTTCTACACAATTTCTTATAGCCTTTCATAATCGATGGCGAAAAAGCAACAGCCAAGCGATAAAGTGTAAAGCCCGGCTATAGGAACTATAGCCCAGCTGCATAATTTTTTATCGCTTCGTGTAGCCCAGCCGTATGATTTTCTCCTCATTCTACAGCCAGCTATATGATTTTCTGTAGCCTTCTTTAGCCGGCTATAAGAATTCCTATGGTATTTTGAAACGCAGCTCTTATCGTCAATTTTTACCAGGGTTCCCATGGAGCTGTCCAAAAAATGCCCGGCTTTTTGGGCAGTCTATTCGGCCGTCGAAAGAAGTTTGGAATGGAGGTTTATAATGACGTAAGGCGGAGTCAGCTTCAGTAGTGTAGTGGTCAAGGCAGTTCGCTGCCAACTGAAGTCCCGGGTTCAATTCCTGGAGGTGACTGATATTTGAGGACACTCAAATATCAGTCACCGTGACCGTGGATGACTATGCCACTCCAATACCCTGACCCTTCGAGGTAGCAGGGTGCGGGAGGGACATAGTCACCCGGTAAGTGATCCGTCTGCTCTGTTCGACTGAGCTGTGCAAAAAATCGGTGATCACTCGTAGTATGCGCGACTGCCAGCGTTACCTATCTGTGGAGATTGCAACAACACAGTCAAACTCCGTGGAGGCATGGCTGTGCTCGGAAAATCTGTGCTCTGCAGCGTCTGCCACAGTCTTTAATGAGACCTGCCGTTGGCTATCAGACGGCCGCTGAGCCTTGCGGGAATATAGCGGACACCAAAGACATGAAGACGAAGTGCTCGTATCTAAAAGCACGGGGAAAAAGTGTTAAAGCCTGGTCTGGCGCTGGGTGCTTGTGTGAGTGTGTAAATGAGCGCGGGAATCCATGGCGGCAAACGGAAATTTGATTTGAACTTGCCCTCTTGATTTTTCCACCTTTCTTCTGCGAAACGTATTTTAAATGCCTAAAACGAACATTTTAAGAAAGTTGGGACTGCGACTTTTTATAATACACTTACTTTTTCTCAATAACAGGCAGTATAATCTCAGATGAAGTTAGTTTTTCTTCTGCTCATAGTGGTCCTGCCGGTTCAAACAGGCCGTTACAGTCCTAGATGACTGTTACTCCCAAATGAAATTAATCGGTCGATGACGAACCAAAATCGCAAATCGCAAATATCTTGGCGAAGAATAGCGTAAAGACTGTCATTTATGCGCATACATTTTCTCTTTTTTTTCTTCATATTGAAATTGCCATTCGAAAATTTTAAGTTTGGGTCTGCCCAGCGGCCTAAGGGAGCTGTTTCCGACATTTCAAGTATGTCCAAATGCAGTTCCTTCCGTCCTAAGAACTGTGTAAAAATTTCATTTGGCTGAAAGCAACCGATCAAAAAATAGGGAAATATCGACAATCGATCATTCTCGCCTACCACTGATTACTTTGCGATATATTTTTATATGAGACCACGAAAATTTTTAAATAATAAACGGTAATGAATTGGAAATTTGAGCTGAAACTTTTCAAAAATTTTCGCAGGCACTGTGTTCCTCATAGGTAGAAAGAAGTTTGGTGGAATCCAACTTGATGTGAGGCGTGAATTATCTATTATCGATGTCTCCCTATTTGAAGCCGTGGTGATGAATCGATTAGTAATGTGTTCGCAGCGAACACCTATCAGTTCGTCGATCCTATTCCATAGATTAAATGGTAGATCAATCGATATGTCGCAAAGCACGCTACGTTCCTGAACTCATTTTATTTATTCACTGAGCGACGCAATGATTTTCAATAATTTTATGGTCTAATCTCGAAAAAGAAAGGGGACTGATTGAATTTAATAATAAATAGTCAGCTTCAGATAAAAGCTCGAAAAATTACAAAAATATTGACTTGTAACTGTGCTAATGTTTTATTTTTCGGTTAGTTTTAGAAATTTAAATCATATTCATACTATTTGTCATGAACCTTCAATGAGGAAGTATGAATGTAGATGCATTAATACCTACCGTGTCAAGAGAAATCTAATGCGAATCCTTCAACAAATCAGATTCTCCTTCAATAAAGCAGGGTAGGCAAAAGCGGTCTCTTAAATTTTCGAATATTGGTATCAATAATTATGGATTCATTTGACTCTCAAAGGTCGTATCTACGAGGTAAGATTTAAAGAGAACGCCTCAGAGAAATATGATCGCCTCATTTCCCCTTTGTCTAACTATTTCAAAAATCGCTTGCCGATCTCTCGAGTAAATTACATCAAGCAACATGCAATAGTAGAAAAACAAGGGGAAAAAACGGGAAACAAAGCTTTAAATACACAAGTAGATAATAAAAAAACCGAGACGACAATAGATGACCATACCTAAAGTTCTAGCCTAGGCATTTTAGGTATGCTCTTCGAGCGGGTATTGGTAGGGTTCAGGTTTTCATCGAATTTTTAAAAAAAAATTTTGTATTTCCGACTGAAAATGACTGAGTTTTGAGTTGAAACGTCTCGGTTTTTCTTTATTAATTGTGTATTTTAGTCTTGTTTTCCGTTTTCCCCCCTTGTTTTTCTATTGTTACCATTGCCTCGTTACCAATATTCCCTAGATGAGCATACTTAAAAAGCTTAGGCTAGAGCTTATAGGTATGGTCATCTAGGGGGTATTGGTAGAGCTCAGGTTTTCATCGATTTTTTAAATTTTTATTGTATTTCCGACTGAAAATGACTCAGTTTTGAGTCGAAACGTCTCGATTTTTTTTATTAATCGTGTATTTTCGTCTTGTTTCCCGTTTTCCCCCTTGTTTTTCTACTGTTACCATTGTCTCGGGCTGCTCTATAAAAATTTGATGACAATACTTCCTCTCTACCCTATGGGAGCGAGAAAGTAAAAATGTATCTGCAGCATGCAATATGACAGCGAGGCAGGCGCTCTGCTCACTGACGCGCGACCCATTCACGTGCCCGCTTTCGCAACAGAATCAGCTGATTCGGCTGATTCATACAGCCAGCTCCCTCGGCAGTCCCCGCCGCTGCTCCTGATTCTGGCGTCGCGACGCTCTGCCCTTGAGCGCCGCTGTCCGACCTTGCCTCTCATTCACTTTTTATCCGCCGGCGCGCGCCAAGGAAAAACCGCGTTCGTGCGTTCAATTTCCATTGCAGTTGCGCGCTTTTGCACCTGCGGCGTCAGACTTACTCATCCTCTTTTTCGGCGTCACATTATTCACACGTCCAGGGTTGCCAAAGCTTTGTGGTAATACCTGTTGCTCGTTGTTCCGGCTAGTTCTGCCGTTTCGAGGAAAAACAACGTATCTCCATCTCAGTGGCGCACTGGGAAAAAAAAAACACGAGTCCAGACTCTTGAAAACATTGACAAGAAAAAGGACCTTTGATTCAATCAGATTTTAAGCTTTAATCAAAAGGAAATCCGCTCAATTTAAGAGGCTTGGTTCTTGATTCAAGCTTAAATCTGCCTGAACAAGAGTCAATTTTCTTGTCAATGTTTTCAAGAGTGTGGACTCTAGATCCAATGTGTTTTTTTTCCAGTGCGTGGCGTGCTTTGCGATATTACTAGGAGCGGTGGCGACCCCGTCAAGCCTATAGAGATCTCCAACATCGAAAATGGGAGCCGCTACTATATCTTACACGAACCCGTTCAACTTTTGCGTTATTTTATCTGTTACGGGTAATGTAATGTAACCGGGTAATGTCAGTTGGCATCAACCAGTCCTCCTGGGTAATGTCGACATAACCCAAGGAAACTGAATTATTTCAATTCTGTTTATATTTAAATTCCTTTAAATTACTTTTATCTTAAATCTCCAAATTAATTTTCGTATTTTAATCATCCTTAAAAACTTTCATGTGCATAGGGGAATTAATGGCACATACGTTGTTTCCGAAATGAGCCAGAAATTGGAATTGATACAGGTCAAGCTCAAGTCATTGATAATTGAGGGGCTTGGAGGACAGGCCGCGTAAGTACAGTTTTTGTTATTTCGAGAAATACGTGTCAGAAGTTTCGAAATTATATGGATCCTTAGGGCGGAAAGAAAGCTCAAACTTATTTTTTGATGCTTAAAAATTTGAATTCGGAAGCAAATTTTTCATAGAGTATGCATTGACACTATAGTTTTACTTTAAATCATTAATATCTCAATTTTTTTTAAAAACTTGACTTTCGCGCCTTGTCCTCCAAGCTCCTCAATCCGTGGATTTACTTAAGCTTTACTTATCAAAATTATTAAATCTTCATTTATTTGTATACTGAGAAGATAGTGTTTTATTTTAAACTAAATAATTTTTAAGTAAGCTAGCTGTTTTAAAATTGCTTAATTATCTTAATAACTTCAGTATCATGCTTTTTCAAATTGAAGCTATTAAAACAAATAAAGATGATTATTGTAATAGTTCTAGTCAATATTACAGTCTTTAAGTTAATCTGGTTTATTTTAAAGAGTACTTTTGTTCCGACAGACATAATTTTCATTATAATTTGTATTTTGGTTTTCTAGTTTTCGCCCCATTTCTTATGTTTCTTTGCTTTCATTGATCCAATTCGATGTGGTGCGATGAAAATAGGTGATCGCGTCTAACGAAATATCAAGAATATTACACCGACAGCTTGGCAGATGTGGATGTCAAGTCCAAGAGCGAGGAAAAACCTGTCTCGGGAATTCGAATTAAATTGATTGTCGTCGTGAATGCCGTACTCCGCCGCAGGTTTCGTGGGTTTTCCGCAGGATGTTTATATTTAATTAATACGCTTACCTCCAAGCTTCGCGATTCATGGATATCGTTCAATGCAGTCGTGTTTTTATGAGGATCGTGTGAGGTTAAAATTGAAGACATAGAGGAAAGGTGCGTTCGGAGTCACAATGAGTGTCTAGACGAGGAATGAATAGCGCCCTTGCATGTGTCAGGCATTAGCGATTTAAATACTGCACTGGAAAAAAAGTCGCTGGATCTATAGTCCAGACTCTTGAAAACAATGATAAGAAAAAATACTCTTGATTCAATCGGATTTTTGCTTGAATTAAAAGGAAATCCGCTTAAATTAAGAGGCTTGATTCCCGATTTAAGCAAAAATCCGATTGAATCAAGAGTATTTTTCTTGTCAATGTTTTTAAGAGTCTGGCCTCTAGATCTAAGCGACTTTTTTTCCAGTGTGAGCTCTTGGTACAATTTCGCGATAAGCACGATGGTGCCACCGGTTTTCGCTGAAACCAACTCCAAAGCTACAGAAAAGCTCTTGAGGTTTAAACTGGCTTTAGCAGTTGAGGCCGTAATGGAGGGAATATCCTCCGTTATAACCTGTGAGTCCACCTTTGTATCAAGAAAAACTCTATATACAAAGATAGGGAGTAAATACATTAGCAGGATTGCCGTGTTTTCAGTTTTGAAGTCCCCCAGTGAAGTGACAACCCTGTTCATGTATTTGCTCCCTATCTTTACACGGAGAGTTTGTCTTGATATAGAGGTGGACTCTCAGGGTAGCCTGGGATATCCCTTCTGTTACGGCCGCAACTTTGAAAGCTTTTTTGAGCCTCGGTGATGATTCCAGGGAAAACCAGTGGCATTATCGTGTTTCTCGCAAAATTTTACCTTGGTAATTTTACATAAATCGCAAATTTCCGACCGAACAAGAGTACTTTCCAACATGATTCCCCTACATAATTTCACGAGAAAACTAATGTTACAGCAGAAAGTCTGTAAATCAACTCATAAACGAGAATTAAGTTTTTACCACTAACATTAATTAAATGGTCAAACTGCAGATGACGTCGTTTGTATAATCAAACCTCCATTTGCTCTACGTTAAAAATGTGTGTTCAAATCTCACTCATAAATTCATTTCCGAATTTACTGTTGTGTGAATTTTTTTCCGTTTAAGATTTTAAAGAGAAAATACGTGACTGTTCTTTCTGATGCAGACCTTGTCCGAAGGCAATTGAATCTAATTTCCTAATCAGAAAATACCATCACTTGCTCATTTTCAAAACAACATATGGGCCACAATTTCCCCGCGCAGACAAGTGTCTTTAGAGATGAGCCACAAATAGGTGTTCCTGTTGCAAAACGTGGTTCAATCGTCACTACATTAAAAGAAAAACAATTTTTTCCGTGCAAACATTTTAAAATCATGAGTTGAAAAACGCTGACTCCACGAGTTTAAATATTAGAGCCTAACACGGAGCGGAGCGGCGTGTTACCAGCGCAGAACGCGCACTGGCGCCTACAAACCTAACGGGATACTTCACGCATTGCGCAACGCGTGAAGTATCCCGTTAGGTTTGTAGGCGCCTGTGCGCGTATCCCGCTGGTTGCCTGCCGCGCCGCAACGCTTTGAGCAACTATTTCGCTTCAGAGGCGTTGCACAGTATCCTACAAGATTGAAGGCCTACGAAATAACTAGTTAAAGAGGACTTTCAATTTTGACTGCATCTGTTACTGAAAAATGTTTAATTTGGCATTGGAGCGTTTCCTAGGCTCCCGCTTTGGTTTTCATCTTATCATATCCGTACAGTGTACACATGAACATACGATATGTTTTCATCTGCTCTTAGAGTCTGTTCTCTTTCATGACTTGATTCATGAATGAAATGTTTTTAAGAATGAAGGTAGTAGTAGTATACATTTATTGTTGAGGTGGCTCCTGTCATTTAAATGAGAAGAAAAAAATGTGGACATATCATGTCTACAATTTGGACAATTTTGGACCTATTCATGGTAGGACATTAAATCATGTGGACTTAATAAAGACTGGACTTAACGTTTAGTGGGCATTAATAGCGGTGGACATTTATTTAATGGACGAAGGGCAGGTGGACATAAAGTCTTGGAAGCGTTTTTCTACTGTGAACGTGAATATTCTGTTGTGTCAGAATGTCGCAGAAAGGAGCTTCACGACATTATATATAAAATATGACGCAATTTGGGTGAATAAACCATTCGCAGTTCTTTAAAATGATTAAGGAGGTCCAAAAATGTAATCTTAAGAACGTTTGCACTTGTTCTCTCTTTCTTTTTCAAAAAGTTTAACGGAGAGCTAGTTATTCCTGATCACTGGGAAGAGGATGTTACTGTCTTGGATTTTGATGCATTGGAACAGTTTGCTAACAACAAACAGTTAATCTTGAAGATGGATAATAACAAGAAAAAAATGCACAATCTTGGAGAATCATACTGTAATAAATACAATTTTACTCACTACGTACACATAAAAAATTCACGCGAGTCGCTATCAGAGATCTCACGTGTAACACAAAATGCTGATAAATAAATACTAAGAACGAGATCTGGTTTTTATGACAGTGAAAAATTACATACTTGTTAAAGGTTCCTGTAAGATATTCATTATCACTAAATATTTAGAGAGCAAATATTGTGTGTATCACGAATACGATTTATAAATATTTATGAGGCCAGTTATAGAATTTTTGATTTCAATACAAAACTTGATAATGTTATTTTTGAAATTCAGGGCCGAACATTTTTGCGCAATAATTTGATCCCCTAATAAGATTTTCTCTATACTTTAATAGCTGGTCCTTGGAAGAACAATTTCTGCATAGGATGCAATTTTTAAAACGAGCTCGATTCGTTAATTTTTGAATCGTTTGGTGAAGAGTTTTAACTTCTGGGTTTACCACAAGTATGTGTGCGACAGAGCCATGTTAATCAAGTAAATTCGTCCCCTTGGATAATTGTTTTCACGCTTTTTTTTTACCTTCAATACACATTTGCTTAAGTTTTACGACGTTCGGATAACAGTGCTGTGCGCCTTTTAAAAATTAGATTTTTGCAATGATATTAAATTTTTTCGTATTATCAGACGATGCTCACGGCAAATCCATTTAATTTTCTGTGCGCGCTTGCATTAATTGTACTGCATTTTGCAATTTGGAACTATAAATTCTGGCTCTTCTGGAAGAGCACTTATGTGCGTAGGGAAACTGATGGCACATACGTTGTTTTTAAACCGGGCTAGAATTCATAGTTCCAAATTGCAAAATGTAGTCCAATTCGTCGTCTCCCGGACGAAGGAACGTAACATCATTCCAAGGTTGCCAAAATCACTCAAGCAATTAATTCATACGGAAGTGCACCCTTGCAATTATTATCCAGAGTTTTTCTGATGCTTGCATGAAAACTGAGAAAAAATCAATGAGACATTCAGTTAGGAATGCCCGAGATTCTCCTGATTAATGTGCAATTACCTAGGAAAAATTTGGCAACATTGTAGCGGAGTTGCGTCCTTTCGTGGGGGAGACGATGAACTTCAGTCTTTGTTTCGCTCAAAGCTCTCGGTGTCCCAAATCACAGGAATAGCTTATTTCCAGCTATCGTAGCCACCTCCGTAACCTCCTCCGTAGCCACCTCCGTAACCTCCTCCGTAGCTGCCTCCGTAACCAGCGCCGTATCCGACTCCGAAACTTACCCCAACACCGCCTCCGTATCCACCTCCGTAGCCACCACCGTAGCCGTTGTTGTAGCCACCACCGTAGCCGTTGTTGTAGCCTCCGTAGTAGCCACCGTTACCGTAACCGCCGCCGTTATAGTAGTCGCCTCCGTAGCCGCCTCCGTGGTGGTGGTGATGGTGAGGCCGGTCGTAGCCGCCACCGTAATAGCCACCGTTACCGTAGCCACCTCCGTAGCCGCCTCCGTAGTAGTTACCACCTCCGTAGTAGTCGCCGCCTCCGCCGCCGTAGTGGTGTCGCTTGAGGCTGCCGCCGTAGACGCCTCCGCCGGTGAGTGCAGCGCCCGTTGCTAGGGCGCTGCTGACAATGGCCGTCTTGGTGGCGGCTGCCGCGCCCAGGCCGGCGAGGGCCAGTGAACCCGTGGCGAGGATCCCTGGCAAGGCTACCATCAAACAAACGAGAATCTGTGGATGAAAAGTATATTTCAATTAGTTTCAGGAGTAGTCCTGTTGGGACGGATTATTATTTAAATTCAAAATTGAAGGCGTCTCTATCGGGTAGCATTGTATACAGTAGATATCGGTTAATACGACATATCGGCTAATACGACGGATTTCGTTTTCCCCGGCGAAACTCCATAAGTTAATACGACAACGGTTAATACGACATACCGGCTAATACGACGAAATCCCGTGACCCTTTGAATGTCGTATTAACCGATATCTACTGTATTATGCTTTGAGTTCCTTCCGAATCACGTTGGTTTCTGCATGCTTTTAATGTCGGTAGCTGTTCTGCCGTGCCAAGGAAGAACGCCGTATGAACATTCGGGAGTGTCCAAAGTTCCTTCGATAAAATGTTTATTTTTGAGGAAAGTTATCAATATTTTCTCTTGACATTTTCATGAGCTTCAGGTGGAATTGCGAACATAATTATCTGTAAAATTACCTTGGTTTTAATTTTTTGCATGATGTCAGTAATTTTATTGCAACGGGTCTAAGTTGCACAATCCCAGCAACATTGGAATGCTGTTGGTTTCTTTTTGCAAGATGTAATCCAATTCACACATGATCAAAAAAAAATTGAAATCTCAATTTAAAGAGGGGATTTGGGGACGTTTCGGCTCCCGCAGTCTGGCTTTCTAGCCCTGGATCACCCTGACCATCGGAACTGACCCATGGCATTGGATAGCTAATATATGTTAGATAGCGAGCTGATTATTGAAATCGATGGCAGAGCGACGGACAACAAAGATATAGGGACCCTGGAGCGATCCTATTGGTTAAAACAGGTAGTTGTTTTAGACTAAGGGGAAAAATTATGTACTAACTACAGGTTTCGAGTGGGTTGCCGTTAGCTAGCCAGGACTTATTTCATTGGTCCATTGCAACCACCCGCCTCTACAAATAGAATCCTTTTATTTTAAGTTAGTCTTCTTTGTCTATCTCTTTGTCTATCAATTTCTACAATCAGCCCGGAGGGAGGCATACAAACTGGAGGGATGGTGCAAACCGAACAGGGCCTGATCGAAATTGATCAATAATAAATGTTGCAACAAGGTACCACACAAGTGCTTCTACTTTCCTTGTGTTAATAAGGTATTTTTAGTCGTGATTCAGAGATAGTAGTTCCACGTTGCAGAATACAATTCAAATTAGGAGCACTTGCAAAACTTATCGAGGCGCCATTTAAAACCAGGGTTAGTCAGTGGTTTAATTCCTTGACAAGCGGACTTTTGTTTTGCCGTGAAATCCTCGATGGAAGCAGCATCGTATGGAACTCATTTTGCAATTAGGAACTATAATTTCAGGCTCATCCCTAAAAGCACCTACATGCATAGGGAAGCTTATGGCATATGCGAGGTTTCTAAATTGAGCCAGGCATTATATTTCGTATAATGCGAAATGATGTTGACATTGTACACTATGTTACGATGTATGTTTTTTACTACTTTGTCCTCAGATTGAAGGAACTTACGGTGACCAGAGTCCTTCTCCTAACTTTCCTTCATCACTTTCCTAATTTCACGCTCAGAGGTCAGTCCAAAAACCCGGGTGTGGATAGACGTTCTGAACGTCACTGCATACGGTTACATATTTCAACTTCATTCCGATGAGGAGACTTTCCTCAAAGAAAAAAACACTCTCTATTGCCTAGGTGTAACTCCCAAGCTATATGTCAAAACCTACTGTTTCACGAAAGAAACTTGGCGATCGATCGGTCAGCAATTTCAGGCGAACAACCGCCACTTTTCCAAGTGCCAGGCGGTCATCGACCGAATATTTTTTTGCCGATTTTCCAATTTGAAGACGAGTCCCCTCATGCAACCCTCAGCATTTTGCGCGGGTGCCATGCACGAGCTACCCACATTCAGTGGAACGTATTTCTGCCAAACGGAACTACGTGCATTATGACGTGAGCCCTGTTATGCATATATTTCTATGGGTCTCAGTGCTCATGTCTTAATGCATATAGTTCCGTTTGGTAGAAATACGTCCAGTTTATCCGTGGCCAGTGGCCGAGTATCGATATTTTCCCATTTGAAGCTATGGTAACGAATCGATCATTAAAATATCATTGCGAAAATCCTGTTCATCGATCCCTTTCCATACGTTTAAATGGCAGATCCATCAATTTATCGCAAAGCATGCCACGCCACTGTTTCTGGCGTATAGTTCGCTCCTCTAAGAAACCACCCAAAGAGGGATGGAAAGAAACCTTTACCATAGTTAAAACGCCGTATGAACCTTTTTAAGAGTTGCCAAATTTCCTCCGATAAAATGTTTATTCTTGAAGAAAGTTATCAAAATTTTTCCTTGAAATATGTACACTATTTTGATCAGATAACGAACGAAATTCTCTGAAAAATCGGAAGAAAATTGTTTGTAAATATTCCCATGAATTCCTGTTTTATCAAAGGAAATTTGTCAACGCCTAAAGACTCATGTGGCGTTTTTCCCTAGCACGGCAGTATATGGGAAGGTGTGTTGGGGGCTTCCATGATTTTTTTCTGTAAGATCATTAAGACTACCACTTACATGTTTTTGTTGTAATGTTTTTTGTTAATATGAAAAAAAGAGAAAAATCACGAATGACCAGAAACTTGGGAAAATTTCCGTTTGCTGAAAGCGATCGGTCCGAACAATAATAATTAAAAGTAGGCAACAAATGAAAGGACAGGTGTCCATGAAGGTCTTTCTTGGCCCTGAAATTGATCAAAGAACAATCGCGCGTGTGAAGAAAAGTAACCTCACGTGAAATGTATCATTTTTTGCCATTTAAAACTGACGCAGTTTTTAAGTCGCAATTTTTAGAATATATGTAGAACGTACTTTTTCAGAATATATATCCGGTATGTAGATGGTTCATTGAACTAGCGTCAATTTTAATTTCTCTCGCAAGTTGCAGGTCCGAATTTTTGAAAAGCAATGCATGTACTTCAAAGAATCTACCTCGCTGAGGAGAATCAGAAAAGTCGTACCCCATAAATCCTTCGCAAGTAAAACTTTGATGTAGAGAGTGGATGGCCATAGGGTTATTTGTTGATATCACTCAATTCGTCGCGTGCAAATCGTGTTGCACGTAAATTTTTAAGTCACTAGGATCGAACCTGGATCGCATTAGCATTGAGTCCAATGCGCTAGCCAATCACAAGTCGCAACATGTGAGTGATACGTAAAGAAACAAGAATGTATCAGTTTAGTAGGAAAATCTTACTGAAAATTTTTTTCTCGAGGTATAATTTTGACTTATAGCGTCGTTTTTTGTCGACAAAAATTGGTTTGTTTTGATTTGAACCCGTGCGAATTGACTCTGTAACAAGTTTTTGAGTTGAAAAAGCGTCGTTTTGTTATCCTTAAGTTTAAGAAACGCTTAAAAAGAAAAGTTTCTTTAACGAAAAAAACTGACTTTAAATTAGAGCCGCACGGATTTATCTAGGAATATCCAAATTTTGTCGACGAGAAATCACGCTATAAGTAAAAAAAATATCCCGTGCAAATTTTTTTTCCGGTTTTTACCATCCCCAGATCGTCACTTTCCACAACACAACACAATAGTAACACAAGCGCCATTAAAGCTTTCCGCCGCAATTTTATTTTTACGGGGAAATTGTTCAAGGAAGCTATCCCAAAATTTCACTGACTTTTATTAGCGCTGCCGATAAAATTCCGTGAAATTTTCGAACAGATTTAATCAACGATTTCTCCGTATAAAAATAAGATGGCGATAAAAATTTTGACGGGGGACGGCACTTGCAATACTTTGGCCGAAAGGTGACGAGATGTCTCAAAGGAACTTACAACGGTTCCGGTCGATCCGACCGTAAGAAATAGTAACTTGAGGTGATTCAACGGTTGCCATTTTTTGTGCCGGAGGGACGTGCGATACATCGCATCAATTCGTCCCACAATTTCAGCCACTCGTCATATTCTTCGAATTTTGAGATCGCACTTCTAATGTCATGCATGAGACTAAAGAATTCGTGTACCAAAGACAAAGTGGCGTGGCAAATTAAGGCGTGGTTTTTTAGGGGAAAAATATAGCATTCGACACCGCAATCGAAACTGCACTCGAATGCCATATTTTTACTCTGAAAAATTCACGCCTTTATTACGTTGAATTTCTGTGTCCAATTCGGTACATGAATTCTTTAGTCTCATGACAACAGAGGTTCGATCTCAAAATTCGAAAAAAATGACAAGTGGCTGAAATTATGGAACGAATTGATGCGGTATATCATACGTCGCTCTGACAGGGAAATAATAAGCACGAGGTTGTTGAACGATATGTAGATTTCCAATCAATTAAGGTAGTACCCCGATTAATCATGTAGTATCGCAATAAATTAGGTGACTAACCCAAATGTTGCGGTACTACCCTAATTTGAGTGGCGATACTAATACAACTAATTAAAAATGTCCATATCATTCAACAAATTGGGGTAGTACCACAATTTTAGAGGATAACCCCTGACACCTTTTTTTCCGTGCACTGAAAAAAAATTCTCGGCGTTTTCACCAAGGTCCAGTAAAATTACCGAGAAAGTTCAATAATTTTACCGAGATTCTTGGTAAAATTACCAATTCCATTAATGGTAATTTGACCAAGAAAAAACTGGGATCAAATAGAATCCTGAATTCTTGGTTATTTTACCCTTTTCTTAGTAAATACACAGAGATTTTTTTTTCAGTGATGGACATAAAAAATGGCAACCGTCGAACCACCCTAACGTAACCCGAAGTAAACACAAGCATGAAAAATTACATCAGTGTATGTGCTCGCGGCGAAGTAGCCCGAAGCTCGAGCAACTTAGGCGAGCGACTTTGAACTTGGAAAGAGAAGCGTTGAACCCGGCACCCGGGGAGCGGTGAGAAACTTGGGACTTACCGCGAATTGCGAGGCCATGGTGCTGCGCGTACGATGCTGCTCGGTCGACAATCGGCGGAACGATGGTTTTTTTTTGCAGCGGATCTTCCCGGCCGGCGGGCCCTGACCGGGCGCTTGACATTTAAAAACCCGCCGCCTTTAAGCCCGCCGCGAGGGCGGAGCCCCCCAGCCCCCGCGGAACAGGTCCAGGAACACCCCGATCTCAACGGTCGGGCCCACCGAAAAGGCGGCGGCGGATACGGATCGCAGTTTTCAGACTGTGCGATATAACACGTATACTTTACACGGGTTTAAAAAGGGAACGGTGCTGAATTTTCAGCACGAGCTGGCAACTAGGACATGGATGCGGCCCGTAACACAATTTGCGGTGAAAAATTGAGGTGGCTTCGTGGAAATTTCGTGAGGCCGTGGGTTTTGACTAATGGCTTTTAGCGTGCGAAAATTTTGCGAGAAACGTAATGGAATCGTCTCTCGTTTGGCTCTTAGTTACGAAAGGTTCTCTCAAATTAGCCCTTTCTGCTGGGAAAGAAATATCAATCTCGTCAAATGCTGCCGTGCTAAGGAAGAACGCCGTATGAACATTCGAGAGTTGCCAAATTTCCTCTGATTGAAAATGTTTAGTTTTGAGGAAAATTATGCTGGTTTCCCTTGGACTTTTCAGGAACTTCAGATCAAAATACAAACAATATTCCCCGACAAGTTAGAAGAAAAAATATTCATAAGTTTACCAGATTATGCATGTTTTATCAAAGACATTTTGACAACGCCTGAAGATTCATACGGCGTTTTTCCTTAGCGCGGCAGAATGGCCAAAGTGCAAAGCCACGTATCTTCATTGCGGAATTTCCAAATTTCCGCTCCTACTTTATTCTCGGGCAATTTTACAAAAACTGTCCAATTCGACCTCCAAAATAATAAAAATTCGACTTGATTATTTTGAATCCCGGGTGTCTTTTCCCAGTACGATTTCCCCACTTATGGCATTCGGTCTAAAAAAATAATGTAGGTACCTTCTTTTTTCAGAAATTTTCCCCCCTTTTTACACACAAAACATCCTATAAGCGGTGTGACGGTCGTGACAAATTTAAATGAAAACGGCGAGGATACTCAACGGCAAAGAAGCACATCTCTACAGGCGGTACACGTGCAATTGATAGTAAGGGCACGAAGATTCTTCAGAACATCACACGCTTCAAAAGTAATAAGCGTGTCGGTCGTGACACAATAAAAAGGCTTAATGGAGTTTGCCTTTTATATCCATCCAAAATCTTCTAAATTCCGGCAGTGACTGCTGTGCGATCATATTGTGATGTGAACACTTCACTCAACGGAATGAACGTGTTTAGCGATTTTGACCGTCCCTAGCGGCCATTTTGGCGATAGAATCCTGTAGAACCCTACACAGCTGTATTATTCTGTAACATGATGATAAAACGTCTTTAAAGGCCCGAAAATTCTGAAAATATGTTGTAATCGAATTCTACTTTATTCGAGCAGGGCTCCTAGATCCTAGGAGATTTTATCGAAAGTGCTGATTTTGTTACGCACAAGAAAGCGTGTGCCATTTTATTTGTCTGGATTTTAGCACTTTTTCTGTCCTTTTTAGAAAAACAAAAGTGTGTAATTCAATAATATGATCAATATGATATTTCAACAAGATGATCTGTGGGAGGATCCATTCCAATAATCATTAGGAGTCGCAGAGCGCTCCAGTGCGCTGAGGCGGCTTGACATATGTATGCATGTTTCAATTAAAGAAAGTGCTACAAGTTTTGGTGGCAAAGTGCTGATTTTTCTCAAAATCGTCTAAAATCTCGTCCATGCTATCGAGTTTTTTCTCAAATTTTCTCGTGGTTTGGGTGGTTTTACGATAACTGGAATAGTTTTGTCGCCGTAACAGACAACACATTTTTCGGTCATATTTTAAGTAGTAATGATAATCAATCGAATTTTTTCGCATTAATCTTCACAGGGTTACGTGTTATAACGCTTTTCAAAGATATATTGCTCTACTTTTCAATTTTAATATATGAATGGCCGAAAATGTGCTGTCTGTTACGCCGACTATTTACCGCGTAACAGACAGCACATTTTCAGAATTTACATAATATTAATTGAGAAGTAGAGCAATAAATCATTAGAAAGCAATACAATACGTAACCCTTTGAAGATTAATGCGAAAAAATTCAAGAGATTATCATTTCTACTAAAAATATGACCGAAAAATGTGTTGTCTGTTACGGCGACAAAACTATTCCAGTTCTCGTGAAACCACCCGTAAATATTTTTCAAATCGGAAATCCCAGGACGTTGCAGAAGACTCGCTTGAGGAAATAGGATTCGTTGAGTCCCTCTTAGTCGATGCACTTCCAAAAAAAGAATAATGAATAAGTCATGACATACGAAAGAACCACCTCCACTTATTATGGAGAAGTCTTTTTGTAGTTTAAATTTAACCAGGAAACGCGGCCGGCGCCCGAGGAAGCATTGAAATTCAAAATACTCACTTGATTGCAAGTCAATAGAGGATCAAGCTCCACGAGCAGAGATGCTTTTCGGGAGTAGAAGCCGAGAACTCGGTCTCGAAACCAGTTTAGTTACAATTTCCGCAACTCTTGACAATGAATTTCAATAACTGGTCCAGGTCGGTGTCAATCCTGCACGTGTAGTGGGTGCAGGGGTTAACCTAATTTCATTTCAATAAGAAATACGGAGGATCTACGAAAAATTTCTAGAACCAGAACCGACAGAATTTTGACTCAATTGTGTTGTGTTACCTGGAATTGAAAAGTAGGGAAAATTTTCCTTCGAATTGACCCCTAGAAATCCTACATCCGCCCACCCAAGTGTACTGTATCTCTCCCTAGGGACTCATTTTTTGAGAGGAGGGTGGGCCGATTTCGGATTTTTAGGGGTTAATTTGAAGTGAGATTGTCCGTGCTTTTTTATACTAATGCGATTGAGTCGCAATTCGGTCGGGAGCTTCTAGATTCGTAAACCTTCCTCCCCCCGCCCGAGGGTGGCTGGGGGGAGGGTTTTATGACGATTAGATTCGGATTCCTTGCTCCGAGAAAATACCCTCGTGCGTTTTACCCGCGAAGTTTACGTCATACGGATCTCTGAAAATTTCCGATTGTGCCTACGAACACTTAAGGTCCAGCTGCTGAGGTTAAGAATGTGACATCTGAAGTTTCAGATTTTCAGATGTGTGATCCGAACCTCGACAGCTGGACCTTAAGTGTTCGGATGCTCAAAAAATGCTCAAAAGATGCTCAAAATCCGAATACTTCAGGATCAAGGACGGGTGAAACTTCTATGCTTGTTTCAATTTCGTTAATTTCTTCAAGTAGTTTTGTTCTTTTATTCATCGCCGTGTCTACCAATTTCAATAATCAATCAGCTGATCAATTCAATTGTACTCTAGCATTCAAATATTGTTTGATGTTAATTTGTCTCTGTGCTCATTGATCGCGAGATGATTCTGCGTGCGCATCTCCTATGTTGTCTTCCTAGTCTATAGCTTTGTGTATCGATTTCAATAGTCAATCCGCTGACTAATTTAAGTGCCGTCTAGCATTCCAACATCGTTTGATGCTAATTTGTCTCAGTGCTCATTGAACCACACCATCGCGAGATGATTCCGCGTGCGCATCCAGCTTTATTGGACACGACTCGTTGCCTCTAACTCACGAGCGTAGCTCACCTTTCTCACGAGCCTTGGAAATCACTAGGTCTTATGGACGGTAGTATTCATCTTGAAGTTGAACTAAGCTCTTTCACCGGAGAACCCGCAACGAGTCGTGATGAAGGCGTTGGCGGCACCGCGCAGCATCCAAGTGCATGGACCTCCGACCTGTGCCTGGAGCGACGCAAGCCGGGATTCCCCGCGGAATGAGCCGGCAATTTGTTTGATTTGTAACCGGCGCACGCTCATTTTGTGCCTGCGTCATTCGATTAGATCCACGCTGAGTGGACCGCGAGATGAGGTTAGGAACCGGACATCACGATAAGTGATTCCTCGTTAACATTGCCCGTAGAACGCTGCGGTCAAACGGGAAATTTCCAAATTCAATGGGTCACTATAAACCTTGTTTATTTTATATAATATTCTGAATGTTCTATGTGAGTAGATAACGTGGTGATTATTCTGCATTTTTACGGAGCCGAAATCGCGGAGAAAACCGCTTTTGAAAAATCTAAAAACTGCAAGACATTTCAAACGCACCCGAATGGCGGGAAACTGACGGTGTTGATGTACTGCGGTAGTCATATCGCAGTCTCCTCTCATTTCCCTCTGATGTTTGTTAAAATAAAACGTAATTCAATGTGGAATTGTTGCTTGTTTATTACAGCTAACATATGAATGAGATTTAAGTATTGAATTCAAAAGATATCATTTCGACTGATACCTTCCGCTTTGCCAAGAAGTTAGTTTAGTTGCGTGATCTAACCAAACTCAACTAAGGTCACTGATTTTACCTCGGTTGGAGCGCCTTCAATTACAGCGATACCCTCCGCTTTGCCGGGAAGTTGGTTTAGCTGCGTGACCTAACCAAACCCAATTGGGGTCACTGATTTTACCTCGGCTCGGAGCGCCTTCAATTACAGCGATACCTTCCGCTATTCCAAACGTAGCGAAGGTCACTAATTTCACAACACGCAATCACTAGTGCCCAGGCTGACGCCATGTATTCAGGGTGAATAAAACGTTTCTTTGAATTGAAATTTCAATAATCTGTGGTTTCTATATTGTTTCTTTACTTCTGAATTTTTACATTTCTTCATTCAAGAACACAAATAAATAGCAGTCTGCCAATACTCAGTTGCGCTGGTTTCAGAATCGCGTTTTGACTCTTGTAGATCAAATAATAATATCTGCCCGAACTGCAACTTTCTACGTTAAAAAATTCGGTTTATGACGTCATCCACCGCGGTACTGACACCCTTGGTTTCTTCCACCTTGGTTTTATCAGTCAGGGAGACACACATTAGCACCGTTTACTCAACGTGAAGAACGGATGAAAGCAAGGTGGAAGAAACCTAAGGTGTCGCTAACGCGGTGGATGACATCAAAAGCCCGACTTTTCAAAGGGCGATATCTCGGTTAATACCTACTCAATGTAGAAAGTTGCCGTTTCGACTGATCTTATTTTTTCCAGTGAGGGCGGATTCATATGATAACTAAGGCGGCAGGTCTCGCTAAAGGAGGCCTCTAGCGTAGCATCAAGAAAAAGTTTTCTTTTTTTTATTTTTTATTTTTTTTTTTAACAACTGAAAAAAATCCTTGTAATCCTGTGAGAAGATCCATTTCCAAAGCTAAACTGTTGAACTTTTCTGGAAGTTCGTAAAAACTGTCTTTTTTTTGCTATCGTGGAGGAGGTCTTCATAATCACAGTGTAAATCATGCGGAGCCCTCCTATAGAAATTATGGAGCTGTTTATGGAACGACTTCACCCACACGACTTGATTCCTCTCTGTTGAACTCGAACTATTTTTCCGGAGCAGAGCGCGCTACTTGAATGGGAAAATCTTAGCAATAAATAACTAAAACGCTAAGTTTCCCCAGGTGCAATCTTCTTCATCCGGATCATCTCATGCGATGGCAATTAAGGATTCACTGGACGATAATGATAATTTATCATGCAGACCAATCCTAGTTGACACCATCGCGCTAAACTGCACACAGGTGTATTTCCTGTCGGCATTTGCCTCGTTGTTGACGAAGAACGTGTTTTTTTTTTTTTGTTTTTTTTGTTTTTTTTTTTTCACAAACGCCTCACTGCTACGTCTCGTTTCAGTTATTTCAGGGAGAAACGTGATCTAGTCTAGAGCCGCATACTGCGACGCTACACTGGAAAAAAAAACACATTGGATCTAGAGTCCAGACTTTTGAAAACATCGACAAGAAAAAATACCCTCGATTCAATCAGATTTTTGTTTAAATCGAAAGGAAATCCGCTCAAATTATGAGGCTTGGTTCTTGATTCAAGCTTAGATCTGATCGAATCAAGAGTATTTTTTCTTGTCGATGTTTTTAAGAGTCTGGAATCTAGATCCAATGTGTTTTTCTTTTCCAGTGTATGAAATCATGCTGTATGAACCTTCAGGCTTTGCCAAATTCCCTTAGATAAGACAGAGATTTCTTTGCAAACGTATGAGTAATTTTCCTCCAATTTTTTAGAAAATTTTGTTCGCTATATCACCTAAAGAGCCTAAACATTCCAAGGCAGAATATTTATAACTTTCATCAAAAATAAACTTTTTATCGGAAGGAACCTGGCAACTCGCTGATGTTCATACGGCATTTTTCCTTCGCACAGCAGTACAGGAAAACGCACAGGAAACTCTGGGTTTGTTGTCAATTTCTGGTTTTAACGTACTTAAACGATTCGTCAGAGCGCTTGTTCGTCACTGCTGACAGTACAGCGACTCCCAGCGTAAGATAATTATGCTCTATTGGATTGTGAGTACAAAAAGTATGTATTTAAGATTTTTAAATTGTGTCAACTTTAGCCTTTCTTTTTGAGGAGGAATCAATTAGTGCAAGAACTTTCTCGAAAGTTATCCGTAATTGAGTCGGTCACCCCAAATAAGGCTGAAGGGATAGAGTTGAAAGTGCAGAAGAAAATCATAAGTTCGCCCTATATATAGTCAAGTCTATAGTATGAACTCCCTTTTTTCCTCGTTACTTAGGGACCAAATGCACCTACGTCTACGATATGAAAACTAGTTAAAGTTATTATTAATTTCAATTTTCGATTTTTTAGTACTGGCGGGCCTTCTTCAGTGTGACCGGTTCAATTTTCGAGGTTATAGCTCAGAAAACGGTGTAAATGACGGTAACATCGTTTTTCAGAGACTTTCATAGCTTTTGCATCAGACTTTATGCTCAAGTGTTAACTTCCCAACTTTCATAAGCATAGTTCGACATTTGACAGTGATATAGGATTTTTTTTCCGAGGAAAGGTAATCTTATTGTTGAAGTAATCAAGAACTTTTAACGCAATATCATCTCGAAAGCCATGGCTCCATTCTTTCATTCAAATACGCAATGCTGGATCCAGCTCTAGCTTAGCCGAAGGTATCCGTTGAATAACTTGGTTTTTTTTTTTTACAAAGTTGGAATAAATAGAAAGAACAATGCATATTTTTCTTCTTATTTTTTTTTTTATTAAAATCAGTCAATGATATAGACTTCGATCACAATTTTTATCACAGAGGAACAATAATCTCCTTGCGCTCAAATAAATTCTGCAAGCCATTTTTGTCTGCACAGGACAATTGCGAACGAAACGCAAAGGAACTGTTGATGTATAGAAAATTATAACTCTTTATAAATTAAGGTACAACTATAAATAGCATCTTAAAAGTAGAAGTGTTTCGTGCACTACTTCAGTATGCACACAAAATTAACTCAGCCAGACTTAAAACTCTAAACTGGAATGTTGTAAAAAAGCGTACTTTGAAAAGAATCATATATGTAACTTTCCCTCTCTTATTTCCGCTTTTTTCAGATTACCTGCATCCTATAAATGCAGCTGTCTCAGTGAATCCTTAGTTTTTTTTTTTTTTTTTTTTTTTTTTTTTTTTTTTTTTACACGAGCATCTACTTTCATCCCTTTGACACTAAATTCTTTAATTCAACGGGCCATGCAAGAACGCTTCATCAAATACACGTAAACTGTTTTTTTAACCCATGTTCGAAAAAAAATGTACGATAACTAATTACTAACATTTGCCTCAATGTATGTTTTAGAGGTAGACATCTTTCGACTACTTTTGAAAACTTTCAAAAAGCAGGATACTTGGATACCTTCACGAATCATTAACGCTTAAAACGGTTTAATAAAACAACCGCTGTTATGCTCAAGTCATTTTTGGTGAAAATGAGTTCTCTAGAACAGTCACCCAATTCATAGGATACGTTATCATGGCATAAAAATTTTGCAATTTAAATTAGCTTTTATCAAGAAAAATGGAAGTTCGCCGAATTATAATGGGAAAAACATTCCTGTCTAAAATCACATTAAACCAACATCGAAATATTTGCACGACTATCCTAATTATATTCATAATCCCTCTCATATCGCTGCCCTGAAGAAAACGTATGGTAACATCTACTACTAGTCTACTTGACTTTTTATACAGTGATACTTTTTAGTGAAAATAACCAGAATTATAGTAGTATTTACTAGAACTCTGGTGATACCTACCATGATATGGTAAATACTATCATAGAACCTGGTGTTTATTCCTGTACTCGTATCACTGTGTCTGAGTACGGTAAAAAATACCATACTTTTCTTCAGTGTGTATGACGTCAAAAAATTAATCATACTCATTTTCCACAGCCACCACCATGACACCCCCCGTACCCCCCACACTTCCCGGGGGGACACCCGCCCGGTCCGTAGCCCCCTCCGCACTTGCCCCCCGGACACCCTCCAGGGTAGGGCCCCGGGTGTCTCTTGCACTGGCCCCCCGGGCAGCTCGGGGGCCCATAGTCGCAATCGTCCCCATAGCAGTCGGACGGTGGGGGCGGGGGCCCGCAGCGCCCGCTTCGGCAGCCCGCCGGAGGGGGCCCCGGGTGCCGCTTGCACTGGCCCCCCGGGCACCTTTTACCGCACCCCCCGCCGGCGCAGTGCACGGGCGGGCCCCCGCAATAGTCCCCGGGGCACTTGCCTGGGGGTGGGCCCGGGGCGTGGCGCTTGCACGAGCCCGAGGTGCACGGGGGTGGCCCCCCGCAGGAGCCCGAGGTGCACGGGGGTGGGCCCCCGCAGTTATCACCGGCGCACGTCACGAGTATGACGCCGTAACCGGTTTTAGCGCAGCTTCCGTCCGCGCATGTCGCGTCGCCGGTTTTTCCGGGCACCAACGTGACGTCAGAACGTTTCTTCCGGGTGCTGATGACGTCACTAATGAGATTATCTCCGGGAGTTTGTGTGTCGTCGGAGCGTCTCCTTCGGGCGCCGACGATGTGACTGAGAAGGATGCCCTCGGCTTGCCCGGGCACCAATCCGACGTCAGAGAGTGTATTTTGAGTGCCGATGACGTCACTTGTGGTTCGCTGGGGGACCTGTGCAACGGCAGAGCGTTTTTTTCGGGTTTTGATGGCGTCACTGATGACGCAATCTCCGATGCATTCGTCCTCTTCCGAAAATGATTCACTGCAGGGGTCCGCGTCATCGCAGTGTGCCGTCGGGCTAGAAATCTCTATCAATATGACCTCAGAACGTTTCTTTCGCGTGCCGATGATGTCACTGCTGAGGGTGTCATCGGTCTTCTTGGGTACCAATGTGGCGTCGGAGCGTTTTTTTCGGGTCCTGATGACGTCCCAGATGGTTGTGTCTTCGGGGCTTCCGGGAGCCAGTGTGACGTCAGAGCGTTTCCTTCGCGTGCCGATGACGTCACTGATGACGCAGTCCGGCCCGATGCATTCGTCCTCTTCCGAAGAAGATTCGCTGCAGCTGTCGGCGCCTGCGCAGTCCGTTGTGGGGCTGGAAAACTGCCGCATTTCCGCGCTCGTAGGTGGGACTTTGCCGGGTGTTGAAGACGGGTACATGGAGACTAGGAACAGCCAACCAAGCATCTGCGATACTGATAACTGAAACAGAGGGAATGATTATTATTTTACAATGGCAAGGAAATGTTTTACAGGAGGAAGAACAAGGGGGAGAACGGGGCACAAGGCCAAGATACAACTCTAAAAACCTGAGGCGTTTCGACTCAGAACTGAGTCATTTTCAGACGGAAAAATAAATTAAATATTTATAAATCCCGATCGTCACCTCCCGCGGCCAAAGTATCACAAGCGCCATGTGACGTTTGAACATGTCCGCCGTCACTTTATTTTTTTTATAGAGAAATCGTTCAAAAAAGCTGTCCGAAAATTTCACTGAATTTTTTGTGTTGCCGATGAAATTCAGTGAAATTTTCCAACAGATTCAACCAACAATTTTTGTGTAAAAAAAAATAAAATGGTGGTAAACATTTTTAAACGTCTTGTGATACTTTGGCTGCAAGGTGAAGACATGTTGGTGGCCGAGATCCAAGAAATGTTTTCTTGTTCCCGTTTTTGCGCCCTTGTTCTTCCTCCTGTTACCATCGTCTCGAGCAACTTAGTAAATTTTTTTTACCTATGATCTGCCCTGAAAAATGTTTTTTGAACTCCATTGAAAATTAAGAGAAAAATAGCACCAAGTGGTAGCGCATTTACAAGTTTTAACTATAGTGTTGTCCTGGAGTGCAACAGGAAGTAAGTATAAAATGGGTAAAAGAGGCTGAAAACGTCAAAACACTGTATAAATGAAGAACGTTTCCAGCCATTACCGGCTCATTTTCAGCTGCAAATAACGGAGAGAGGATAATTAGTTGTTCGCAGCTGAAAATGAGCCGATAACAGCTCGAAACTTCCTGCCTTTTTGGTGTTCGTAGCCTTTAAAATGAAACTAATAAACTTTACTCATTGAATTTTCGCTAATTTTTTTTTTTTTTTTTTTTTTTTTTTTTTTTTTTTTTTTTTTTTTTTTTTTTTTTTTTTTTTTTTTTTTTTTTTTTTTTTTTTTTT